TCTGTCTGCACTAATCTATTAAAAGTATTCCATGATAGAGCAATAGCTCAAACAATACAGAGAGTCTTGTTAAAAAGCTACAAAGGGTAATTAAATAACAGCCAGCAGATGGAGCAAATGTAGACCAGCTGAAGATGTAGGCAAGGTCGGAACAGTCAAGGAAAACATCCGAACTGAAGTTTACTCCAACATTCCCTACGAGAGATAATACGTAAGAGGAAATCTGTGCCAGATAAGAGATTGTTACAGTTTCCACGACATTGTAGCTATATTGTTGTGCAAAGTGCTGCCAATCTCAGTGAAAAGGATGCTTTTAGATTGCATAAAGGTAAATTTTATGAATGGGGCCTGTTATCCTAGACAGAATATCATGCAATGTATTCAAAGCTTGCCTCCAAGATCCTGATTTGTACTTCCATGTCATGTGAAGTTCAATGGAATCAATTCCTAAAATGTGACTGACAAAAAGGGAACATTTTCCAGAAGAAGCAGAAAATGTGATTTTGTTTTAGCCACGCTAGATAGTCAGTGAAAACTTTTTAAAAATCTCTACTGCCTTTACAAATTGGAACATTGACAAATCTGTTTTAGATTGAGAGAAAAAAGTATTTATTTAGCATCATATCCTTTCCTCAAGATGTACCAAGGTACTGGAATCCTGATAAATTACTTTTTTTGAAGTGACTGCAGCCAAGACAATCTGACAAATGTCATAAGATTCTTTGTATCTGCTGACCCACTGGAATAGGCAGATGGAACTTTAATTTAGCATCTTGTGAAAGAGAACACTGCTAACACTGCAGCACTCCCTTAGCCGAGATTATATAGCCAATTTTCTGGTATAATGGAAATGAAATGACACCACTAAAATTTTATGGATAAAATTTTATATGTAGCAAGTCATAAAGCTGTACATGTACAAGGGTTTCCTGTCCATAGTTAACAACAATGCAGCAACAATTATTCATAAGAAATCTTAAACTGGACCTCTCGTGTTCTCGTTACAAAACCCTTCACTTTATATTTTGGGTAGATATATTGAAAATAAAAGCAAAGGACTTCAATGTCAAACCATTTAAGTCTTTGAAGGTCAAGATGGATTCCGTGTTAAACTCAAATCTGATGAAATGTTATATTTTACATATTAATTCTTAGATTAAATCTTATTCCATTGAAACCAAAATTGTAGCAATAATAAGTATCAATGAAGAATTTGATTGTTGTGTGAAGTATAACAAAAACTATACACTGATGTTTGTGATTAGTTATCATCTGATGGAAAAGGCAAAGTTGGAATTTATGAGCATTTGAACAACTGAAATGAAAGTATTCTTGCAAAAACATCTGAGAGCTTCAATCACTCAGACTCTGACTTAGAAAGACAACTTTGTTCACGAATACTACATGTGTACATCTGTCAATGTTCCAATTTGTGAAGGCAATTGAGATTTTTAAAAAAAGTTTTCACTGACTTTCTTTCATGGCTAAAACAAAATCATGTTTTCTGCTCCTTCTGCAAAATGTTCCTTTTTTGTCAATCACATTTTAGGAATTGGTTCCATTCAACTCCAAGTGACGTTGGAGTATACATCAGGAGATTGGAGGCAAAGCTTTTGTATACATGCTACTTTTTTGCAAATTGCTCTATCAAATAAATCTGCTTTTCTTCCAAACTTTATTCCCATTTTAATTTGGGTTAACTTTTGTTGGTACCCCTGCTACTTCAGAATGCTTTCATATCCCAATGGGTTGAAAGACTTCCAAGGAATTATGCACCAGCTGAATTTTAGCTCAGAGGAAATTTTAACGGACAACAATGGACCTATCAGAAGTATTTGGGGAAATAATGTCATAGAATCATAGAGTCATACAGCATGGAAACAGACCTTTCCTTCCAACCAGTCCATGCTGACCATAATCCCGAAATAAACCAGTTCCACCTGCCTGCATTTGGTCCGTATCTCTCCAAACATTTTTTATTCATGTACTTATCTAAATGCCTTTTAAATATTGTAACTGTACCCACATCCACCACTTCTTCTGGAAGTTCATTCCACACACAAACCACTCTCTGTGTAAAAAGAGTGCCCCTATGTCTTTTCTAAATCTTTCTTCTTTCACCATAAAAATATGCCCCCTAGTCTTGAAATCCCCCACCATAGGGAAAGACACCTGCTGTACACCTTATTGAAACATTTCATGATTTGATAAACTTCTATAAGGTCATCTCTCAACCTCCTACGCTCCAGTGAAAAAAAAAGTCCCAGCCTATCCAGCCTTTCCTTATAACTCAAACCTTCCATTCCCAGCAACATCCTGGTAAATGTCTTCCGAACCATCTCCCAACTTAATGATATCCTTCATATAACAGGGAGACCAGAACTGGACACAGTACTCCAGAAGAGGCCTCGCCAACGTCATGTACAACCTCAATGTAATGTTGCAACTCCTATGCTCAAAAGTCTGAGCAATGAAGGCAAGCATACTAAATGCCTTCTTAACTCCCATATTTATATGCGATGCATGAATAAAATCCTTAGGTACAAATAGAAGCACAAATGTTCAAAGGACATTCAGCAAACTTGATGAGATTACTGGGAGCCTAGCTGGAGTCAATTTTAATTCCAAATGACTCCAATCATAAATGAAATTTGCTTCTTCCAGGTAGTGATAAACTGGTTAGGCAACTTTACTCGGTAATTTGATGACAGAAATGAAGTTTTGAGGATTTTTAAAGAAAGAATTATAAAAGCAAATATGAAAATGAATCAAAAGCAACAAGCAACATTATAAAAAGATTTAAAAGAAATATGACCAGACATTTTGTCAACATAAGAGCCTTTGTTTCTTTATTGAACCATGATGCGATCCTAGTAGTTATCTTATTCTCGCAGAAAAATGGGGATGATTAAAAGTAATAGATTCTGTACAAAAAGTGATTGACTTGGAGGAATGCATGGACAAATAGAAATGTACTAGCATCATCAGTTACTTGTAGCATTATCAGTGGAGACTGAAGTATATGGAGACTGCTGATTGAGACAGGCCATTTTACAAAGAATCCGGGCAACAGTAAGACCAAAATCAAGATGTAGGAGAAAGTGTCCAAAATCTGTCAATGGATCTAGGTCCAGCAGGAAAATGGTCAGAAAATGCAAAGCTAGATTGTAAATCTGCAATAGCAGACACCAAGAGATCTGAAAATGGAATGGGATGGGAAAAGCAAATTAAACAGAAAATGCAGTGCTTACGCTTGTTTATAGAATCCCTACAGCGTGGAAGCAGGCCATTCAGCCCAGTGGCTCCACACCAACCCTTGGGAGAGCATCCCACCCAGACCCATGGCTGTCAATTCAACGTGGCCAATCCACCTGACCTGCACATTTTCAGAGTGTGGAAAGAAACCTGAACACCCAGACGGGCGGAAAACATGATAAAGTCCACACAGGCAGTCGCCCGAAGTTGGAATCAAACGCAGATCCCTCAGATTCTGAGGAAGCAATGGTAATCACTGAACCACTATGATACATGAGGCCAAGAGAACGCTCAGACAGAAATCAAATCATAGAATCCCTACAGTGTGGAAACAGGCCTTTCGGCCCAACAAGTCCACACCAATCCACAGAGTATCCCACCCAGACCCATCCCCCTATAACCTACACATCCCTGAACATTACAGGCAATTTGGCATGGCCAATCCAACTAGCCTACACATCTTTGGACTGAGGGAGGAAACTGGAGCACCCAGAGAAAACCCACGCAGACGCGGGGAGAATATGCAAACTCCACACAGTCACCTGAAGGCAGAATCAAACCAGGGTCCCTGGTGCTCTGAGGCAGCAGTGCTAACCACCGATCCATTGCGCCGCCAAATACTGCGGGGTGTTAGAAAACGGATAATTAAAAGTAGAGAGGGGAAAAAAAAATACAAACTGGCAATACTCAGCAGGTCAGGCAGCATCTGTGAAAACAGAAGAAGAGTTAATGTTTCAGGTCAATAACCGTACATTAGTATCTACTTTGGACAGCTCCTTGCTCAGGAAGTCGATGCTCCTTTATCTGGAAAAGCTGAAACATATCAGTTGTGAAGAAGAGTCAGATTGGACTGGAAACGTTAACTCTCTTTCTCGTTGCACAGATGCTGCCAGACCTGCTAAGTTTCTTCAGCATTCTCAGTGGTTGCCCCTTTACCCTAAGGTAAATAGGTAAGCATCTTGCTTTCATCACCTACCTAGTTGACGTTGCTCTGTCACAACTGGTGTGTCAGAGGAAAAGCATGTGAAGTCTGTCACATTCTTCACTCATGACTGTCTCGACGAACATACAAACTAGCAGAGATTTAATAGTTTATATTACATCTGGACCAACTCGACATTTATTTCGATGTGCAAAACCTTCAATGTTGCACTTGTTTTCAGGCGGGGGCATCTGGTTTCCCCCTCCTAGGGAATTTTTGCTCTGTTTTGTGCACTCCCCCCCCAGCCAGCCCTCTCCACTGTCTTTGCGGGCGGGCACTTGAACGCAGCCAGGAAATCGACGCAGTAACACACACTGCAGTCAAATAATAATCAGGTAGGAGGGCGGGGTGGGAGATAGGACCGCGCGGACATCTCGGAGTGTGCGGCAGCAGCGGCCGTCCGCCGTCGGGCCTGGAGGGCTTTACCATCGGGGCCGGAGGACGGGGGAGGTGGAGGCTGGAGCTGGTGGTGGGGTGTGGAGGGGCGGGAGCGGGGGGGGTTGATTTGGAAATGGTGGCTGGTGCCCTTCCCCGTCCACCCGAGCGTATTAACGGTGATTCCTGCTGGTGGGCAGGAAAGCTAGGTGGGCTTTGCGGGAAAGGGGGCGGGGCTTCTTGTTTTCTCCTCTCTTTAAGCCCCCCCCCCCCCCCCCCCTCAGCTCCCCCTCCCCTCCCAGTGATGTTGACTGAGCCGGTGTGTCTGAGCTGAGGTGGGTGGCAGCAGCCGGTGCAAAAAAAACAGGCGCTCAGAGGGAGATCGGACTGGAGGGAGAGACGGCAACACACACACACACAGGAAGCTGGAACAGGATTATTACCATAGAGTCAGACCAGAGACTCAGTAAGACCGAAAGAGCTGTCGCCTCACTGGCAGCAGTATTTATTCCCTATTTATGATTTACTCTGGAATTGAGAAGGCGGAAGAAGCGGCTGTCATCATTAGTTTTTTTTTATATCTGTGCCCGTGTTTTAATTATTTGCAACCGGGCTGTGAATGAACTGGACGATGTTTGGGCTCCTTCTACGCAGGATAACGGCGCTTTTCTGGATTTTCCTCAGCAGCGGCATCAGCAGCGTGGGACTGGCAGCATCCCGTAAGTAGACAACCTCAGCAGCAGTTTGTGCAAAGCCCCGGCGAGCACAGTCCCAGAGTCGATGGTACAAGCAGGTTCGGGCATGCTTTCCGACAGGGTCCCCTCTGCAGCTGCCGGGGCTGGCTTTGCCATCATCTCCCAGGCTCTGCGGTATCCTGCAATACGAAGTGCTGAAACTGCAATCTTCCTCTCTCTCCCGAAGCAGCCTGCGTGGAACGGAGCAAGCGAGTCTGTAGATCAATGCAGGCATATGTCTCGTGGTTTATTTTTAATTATTGTTTGTTTGCACTGCCTCATGTTAGCTCCGGCTGATCGAAATAGTGCAATGAATTGGCACAAAATATCGTTATGGCCCATTGCAGTACTTTTATTATATAGGACAGTCTGCTTCAAGGAGGAGGTGTGGTTGGTACCATTCTGTTAAGATTATATATGCACATGTTCTGCAGGTGATATATATATATATAATCACATATTCTGATTTAGAGAAACCTACTCGGTTTCCGTTAACGTATTAGCTGTATGATGTAACATCCCCATCGAAGTAAAAACTGCAAGCTTTCTCTGAAGGGAACCCTTGGAAAAACTGATGAATAATTTTTGTGGGAAAACAGAGGCGCACTTTTTATTATATTTTACACCATATGTTCTTTTCGGATACTTTTGCGCATAAATAACAGACTTGAGAAACTAAACGCCGTGTGTATTTTTTAAATGCTACCTCCAGAATTTCATGTAGCTGCAGTTGCACCAATGGTAAAATGGCAATTTGCAGCTTGATACTTGTCCAGATACTCTGGGGACGCCACATCCTGAATGGAGAGTGTTGGGGTGCTCTGTTTTATATGTTGGTGACTGTTAACTGGGCAGGCAGTTTTGATTAGTTAAGTTGATGCCACCGTTGATTCCGCGAGTAAGACAAATGGGTCCGTTACATAGTTTCAGGATCTTAGCATTTTGCGTTAGGTCTTCGGCTTAGCATTCCTAACAGGAGGAGTTATATGCCGAGCCTGCAGACTACCTGGCCTCAGCCGGCTCGGCTGAGTGGCGTTAACTTTTCAGCATGCTGCAATTGTTGTTGCTGAAGGTGGGAAGATGCGCTGGCCAGTTCCCTCCTGCTGAGTGACCCTGTACCTGCGGGCTATTTCCGATAGGAGTATCCAGCAAAGTGTGATGAACTGGTATTTACTCACCTGAGATCAGCGAGAAGGAGCGTTCGCGTTTCCATCAATGCCACTAGGCTTCCTGAATGTTGTTGAAAATTGTTCATTCCTAGACTCAGAAAATCACCTTCTTAAAACTAATGCTTCAGATGGACAATAAAGATGATACAGAAATTCCGTGGCCGAATGAGCAAACATAAGTATTTTAAGTGCCCTTGTTTTTAATTTTAAAGTTATTCAGAGGTTGTAACAAGGTAAGAGATTGGCTTGATCGTATTTGCCACAGATAAATGCAAGATATTTTAGTGCTCGGTTTAAATGCCTAGCACAGAGGTAGATGAAGTTTTTTTATCGTAGATTTTAGGCGCTACATAAATGTTGCAAGCAGGGTCGGCTTCGTTAACCCCGATCGGACGTCTAACTGTTCTTGAAGAAAATTATGTTAAACACCGATTTGACAAAAAAACTAACACGACAGAAAACAACTCCAAAAATTTTAAACGTCAGTTTATTGGAAACAATATTTGTCTGACGAGTTATTGTGTCCTAGTTCTATGTGAATTATATAAAAAAGGAGTAACCTTGCTCACTGAGAATGTCTGTAATTCCCATTTCTTTCTGAATCATGTGTGACATTTAGAGTTCTAATGGACGCAGAGCCAAAGGTAAATAGAAAGAATTATTCTGGTAGTGTTTTCCATAGATCACTTTCAGCTTTGGCTAACTTGCATTCTCTTGCCTGCATGGATAGATTGATTCTGAACATTTGCTTTTCCTACTAAGGTACTGTCACTATCAATATTTGCAACGGTGTTCTCAACAAAGGTGCTAGGAGGTTCCCTTTTTAACTCATTAGTATCATGGCATATGAGGTAATAATTTAATATAAGATCATGACAATTTTTGCCTCTCGATTTTGTTTATTTGACAGGGAATTAAACATTTTATCTTTTGTGCGAAAGGCATTGGGGGCTAAATTATATTTTGCACAAGCTAACGGCAAAATCAACGTACAGCGTCAGTATAGCTAGATTTATGGAAGTACAATCTGGTTTAGAAAGATAAATAAGGGAAAACATTATATGCAAATATAGGAAAGATGTGAAATTTGAAAGGATTCAGAAAATATTTATAAGTTTGTTGCCAGGGTTGGAGGGTTTGAGCTGCAGGGCAAGGTTGGATGGGCTGGAGCTATTTCCCCTGGAACATCAGAGGCTGAGGAGTGATCTGATAGAAATTTATAAGATCATGAGGGGCATGGATAAGGTGAATAGCCAAGGTGTTTTCCCCAGGGTAGGGGAGTCCAAAACTAGAAGGCATAGGTTTAAGGTGAGAGGAGAAAGATTTAAAAGGGTCCTAAGTGACAAATTTTTCATGCAGAGAGTGGTGTATGAATGGAATGATCTGCCAGAGGAAGTGGTGGAGGTGGGTACAGTTACAAAATTTAAAAGGTATCTCGATGTGTACATGAATAGGGAGGGTTTAGAGGAATATGGGTGAATGCCGGCAAATGAGACTAGATTAATTTGAGATATTTGGTCAGCATGGACAAGTTGGACTGAAGGGTCTGTTCTCATGCTTTACAGCTCTATGACTGTAAATAATATATGGCAAAGAGAAGGATGGGCTAGAGGATGTAAATGAAGGATACATTTGTAAAATATAAATGTGTGCATAAGGTACTGAGTCTCCCCGATAATATTAGCTGGTATATGGTGATCTTAAGCTACATTTTTAATGACACTATAACAGAATTGCATCAGAAGTTGAGAGATAGCCATTAAGTATAAGTTTCAGGAGAAGAAAAGGCAAAAATTTGTCTTTACTGCTTCGGAAGAAGCTTGAAAAAGGAAGGATATTTTTAAAGAAGTTTATAGGAAAGTGTTCCAATATTCATATTTGTGGCCTGTAAAAAAAAATTGCCTGACAATAAATCCTAGATTCAATCAGATAAGAAGAATTACTGTTTTATGAATGGTAGTTTCATATTTTGTCAAGTGAATTTTCACAAACTGCTGCACTTTTCCGCAGATAAGCATCTTTGGGAGGAGCATGGGAAGAATTTTATATTATTAAGGAAACTGTACTTAAAGTGCTCCTTATTGATACAAGATTGAATGAAAGATTGAATGTAGTGGAAAAATTGAATAAGAGAAGTAACCTGCAACAGCTTTATGGAGGACTGATTTCCAAAAATATCACAACACTGTTTAATTTGAGTTCCTAATGACCTGTTGTAGAGTTACACAATTGATGCTTTAAGTCCTAATGTGGGCGAGAGTTCAAAACTATACTCAGCACGGGGTGAACTCCTAATACCCATAATTTCTCTACTGTTGTTCCCAAGTCAGAGCTTATATTGAAGCACAGAGAAGACTATTTTTCCTGTAATCTATATGTAGTTTGAAGAAGTCTAACAGATTATAAATGGAAAGCTGTCTGAAAGCCAAGAGAAAGAATGGGGAAAACAAAAATGCACAACAAAGATTGGAGGAAATCGAGGGTAGCTGGATGCATTAAAATATGCAAATGAACTGAAGAGCTCATTATGTAGCATGCTGGGGATCCATCCACTTTGACGGCTGGTATGACAGATGCATTGAGTTTGAAAAGCCACGATTATTGCAGTTACAATTCCACACACTCTATAATTTGGTATAATGATATGGTCTCAACTGCCACCCAGAAATCATTCTAATTAATTTATGAAACTCATACTCAGTTTATTCAGAAACAGAACACAGTTTTGCTTCATTACACGAGATGTAACTTCAGAGGGTAAAAGTAGCCATAGTTGCACTCCTTCATTCAAGAGTTTAACCTGCATGTTACCACACTGCAGCTGAGATTGGGAAGAATATATTTTTGTAGTAGCCTGAGGGGATACAGGAATTGAACCTATGATGTTAGTATTGCTAACAAGCTAGTGAACCAATTGAGCTAATTGACTCCACTACAGCAAGTGGAGCAGACAGAACAGGAGGTAGTGGATCTGCTGCTCATTGATTGCCCTGCCTCCTCCCACTTTTCCACTCCATTTATTCACAGGAAAAACAAATCAATGTCGAATGGGGATGGCTTATACACCACCACCCATTTTGCACCCCATTAAAGTTGAATTTCACCCTAACCAATAGGGACTAAAATTCAACATTGGTCTCTAATGGATAGCAAATTTAAATTAGAAATTAAAGTTACATTTAGGTTGCAGGAATTCAGAAAAACATAACGTAGAGCAGTTAGTCTTCATGTTGCTTGCTATGGTTAACATTGACATATTGATTCACATAGTTTGTTATGATATGAAAATAAAGAATAAGTACACTTTACGATGTTGTTGTGAATATAAATCTAATTCAAAGCCAGAATTTATGAATACTGATTAGAAAATCAGCAACATTGAGCAGAAATGAATGTTTAATATCAACTCTTAACAATATCACTGATACCAAATTGAACCAAAAGAAGAGATGGTTGAGGAGTGAAAGCAGAAGATTGAACAGTTCTCTTATCTGAAATGAGATTTTGAGGTCTATTATAGTCATTGAGTCTATTTTTTTCAGTAAATTCCAGTTACAAATTGCTTCTCTGTTATACATTGCATTTCTGTATTCTTTACTGGAGGGTATGTCATACTGTTGACCACAAGTGGCAGGAGGTTGTATGATATCAAGAAGTTCTCAACAGAAAATGATTCCCAGGATATGGTGGGAAGGTCTTATGATTGTTATTTTATGACTTAGCATAATAATATCGATTTATAATAATGATGAGTTAAATTTTAAGCTTAATTTTGTGCAACTTTATTTAAGTGATTTCAATCATGTTTTCTTGTTT